AGGAGGAGGGGAGGGGGAGTGGAAGGAGGAGGAGGAGGAGGAAGCAGCCGCTATATGCAGAGCCCTTCGTTACTTGCGCTCATGGCGGCAGTGGCAGGGGTGAGCGGGGAGGAGGGTCCGAGAAGGAAGCTACTGGTGTTGAAGAACTCGTTGCTGTCCTCGCAGTGGGTGGAGGAGAAGGTCTGTGACTCGCTGCTGGTCGCTCATGGAGCTTCCTTCTTCTCCTCCCAACGCATCCCTGCCCACGCTGTGGCTGACATGCTGAATCTCGTCATGAGAACGTCGCTCTCCCCCCTCAAGGTCTGTACGCGCTCCTCCTCTCCTGCTCCTCGTCCTCCTCCTCCCTGTGTTTGTCTCCAAGCTTGACGCATCGCTTGGTCAGGCCATGGCTGATCGCGTTCGATCTGATCGAGAGGTCGCATCCTCGCCTCGGGTGGTTGTGACGCCAGGAGGGACAATCCTGTGATGGGCTGCAGCCTCTCCTCCTCCCCTCCTCCCTTCCAGCTCTCCTCCGTCAAGTTCACACGTTCGGCTCGAACCAGACCAGATGGATCGGGCTGTTTCTCTCGCAGTTCATCTTCTTGCATGGACTGATCGCCGGGCAGCACCCGTCTCGCTCGACTCTGCTGCAACTTCAGCCTCCTCCCTCCCTCCCTCCTCTCTATCTGCCTTTCCCTCACCTTCGAATCGGATTGTTCTCTAGACGCAGCCACCTGGTTGAGCGAGTGAGGACTAGAACGAGCAGCAGCAGCAGCAGCAGCAGCAGCAGCAGCAGCAGCAGCAGCAGCAGCAGCAGCAGCAGCAGCAGCAGCAGCAGCAGCAGCAGCAGCAGCAGCAGCAGCAGCAGCAGCAGCAGCAGCAGCAGCAGCAGCAGCAGCAGCAGCAGCAGCAGCAGCAGCAGCAGCAGCAGCAGCAGCAGCAGCAGCAGCAGCAGCAGCAGCAGCAGCAGCAGCAGCAGCAGCAGCAGCAGCAGCAGCAGCAGCAGCAGCAGCAGCAGCATACAAGGGCATCATGTATCTCCCGATGGGCTGCGGGTAGAGCTGTTTCACTTCCTCTTTCTGCCTGTCGGTCAGCAGCAGGCGGAAGAGGAGGGAGAGAGACGACCAGCAGGAAGCGAGCTCCAGCAGCAGAAATGTAGTTGTCCGACCTGAAACTACCTCATCTCTGCCTCCTCCCCTCCCCACCAAACCACACCACGCCCTCCCCTATCCTCTCCTCCTCTTCCCTCTTCTTACAAGTGAATTTCTTGCACTTGCTCCCCTCGCCTCAGGTCTCGCTAGCAGTCAAGTCAGGTTCTCCTCCCCATCACTCTCCACATGCGCACGTGCGCCACGACCAAGTCCGAGATGGCTTGAGCGGCTCCATCCTGCTTCCGCGATGAGACACAAGAGCAAAAGAGGGATGGAAGAGAAAAAACAAGACGGGAGGGGAGGGGAGGGGAGAGGAGGAGAGAGGAGAAGCCAGGACAGGTGAGATGAGTTGAGGCAAAATGGGAGGAGAGGAGAGGAGAGGAGAGGAGTGGAGAGGAGAGGAGAGGAGAGGGGGCATCAGTACCTTGCACGCGTTCTTGTACGCTCGAATGACCTTGACAAAGGCCTTCTCCTCCTGCTCACGTGAGTGACGAACAAGGTCACAGACGAGCTCACTTGGATCAAAACTTTCATCGCTGAGCAGAGATGCTTCATCCCGACGTCTCCGCACCTTCAGCCCGCCAGTCAGCAACACAATCCTCCCCTCCTCCACTCGCCTGTTTCCTTCCATTTTAAGGTTGATTCCAATCCTCTTCGACACTTTCAAGTCTCTCACCGTCCTCCGAACCACCTGCAGCATGTGAGCGCAGGAGCGGACAGAGCAGGAAAAGCAGGAGGAGCAATGGGAGAGTAGAGGGAGACGGAGGGAGGACGAGACGGTGACTGACATCCAACGCGATCGGAGCAATGCGGACAAAGTCGTCGTCCGAGAGAAGCTTTTCACTGAGAGCAAGAGAGATGTCGTTGTGCTCTATCGAGATGCTCTCTTCCACCAGCATCCTCATCCTCTCCTCTTTTGTTCCTCGTCCTTGAATCACCTGCCATCCTTCCTCCTTTCGCGGCTCCTGCCTGACTTGGTTGCTCGCCGCAGCCACTTCTGCTCCCCGTGGCATGCTGTTCTCCCTGACATGCTGCTGCTGCTGCTGCTGCTGCTGCTGCTGCTGGCGATGGAAGTATGGGAGGTGGAGGGGAGGGACGCGGGAGGACTCGCAGAAAGACTTGGTACACTTCCTTCGCCCGCTGACCTCACTGAGCATCGAGCAGCACGAGTCTCTGAGCGAGAGAAAGCGGCTGCTGTTCCAGCCGTCGATGATGTTGTCATGTAACCTCAGGTAGAGGGGGACGCGATTCTCCCGCTCGTCGATGTACCTGATGCGCATCCTCTTAGCCTTGTGGAAGGCAGAAGAGGAGAGTAGAGAAGAAGAGAGAACAGGACAGGATCAGAATGAGAAAAACGAGCTCACGGGTAAATCTTTCTGCAGGTCTCCAGGAGGCGCAGGGCACCATCGTTGGAGATTTGATTGTGTGAGAGGTGAACTTCTCGGAGAGGAAAGAACTTCTTGTACGTCTACAAGTGGACGTCAGTCGAGGAGCAAGACGTCAGAGGTAGGAAGAAGGAAACAACCTTGTGTTGGAGGTAGATCAAATGAGCTATAGCCTCTGCTCCTTCATCTCCTATCTTGTTGCTGAAGAGACGAACAGCATGCACATATCTAGTGACAACTTTGAGACGACGGCGAAGAAGACGAGAGAAAGAAAGAGAAGGCGAGAGGGTGACAAAGAGCAGAGCTGGAGGTAGAGGAGGACAGAGAGGGGGTAGAAGAGGAGAGACAGAGGTAGAGGAGGACAGAGAGGGGGTAGAGGAGGAGAGACAGAGGTAGAGGAGGACAGAGAGGGGGTAGAGGAGGAGAGACAGAGGTAGAGGAGGAGAGAGAGGGGGTAGAGGAGGACAGAGAGGGGGTAGAGGAGGACAGAGAGGGGGTAGAGGAGGAGAGAGCATAAATTTGTTGTTTCTATTCACCCGATCTGCATCTCCAGCATGTTGGAGAGACACTGACAGAGCGCGAGAAGCTGAGAGTCGACCATCTCCGTTTGCTCTAGCGCGATCACCACAGGAACAGGAGTAGGGCAATTCCGAGCTATGACCGTCTGCCGCAGGCAGGGAGTCAGTGGAGGAGGAGGAGGAGCAGCAGCAGCAGCACATCGATGATGCCCTTGGTCACAAACTCCACGTAGGAGGAGGGAGAGACCGCAAAGTCGTCCGCAAGGAACGGGTTTCCTATGACGTGAATCGCCCCGTCATCTTCGTCAAACTTGATGCATCTTGCCAAGGACGGAAAGTTGAGAGGAGGATCGGCGGGCTGGTGCCTGTCGGCAGGGACGTCGACAAGTATGGCAGCGGCAGGGAGGCTGTCGACAAGCACAGCAGCGGCAGGTTCTTGACTGCCAAGATGCTGGTGAGGAATTTGAGGGACTGGAGGAACGGTAGAAGCGAGAGGAGGGAGCGGAGGGACATTGTCCTGTGCGTGTTTCTGGTCATCGTTGAGATCCTTGCGGGAGATCAGGGAGAAGGATTCGATCGGGACAGAGAACGAGGCCCGGTAAGAGAAGGCGCGAGAAGAGTCCTGGAGGAGAGAGCCAGTCTCGCTCATGTAGAGGCTGACTTGTAGGGTCGAGATGATCTCACTGCATTGGAAGCATCTCGTCTCAGTCAGCATACCGGTGTCGCACTTGGCTGCAGGCTTTGAGGTTGTTAGGAAACCTCTCCATCCATGAGAGCAGGCTGACCTCCTTCCCCTTGCTCTGTCGGATAATCTCCTTCCCCAGGCAGCAGAGGCACATCCTATGCTTGCAAGGTTGGACCTCCACGTTGGGCTGCGTCGCCCATCAGACTACGCATGTCGCTCATCGCGCATACCTCGTTCTCCATGCAGATGGAGCACTCCAAGTCTTCTTCTTCCATATACATTGCCTTGAGCGGAAAGATTAAGTGAATGAAAAGATTGACAGCGAAGATCAGGGACAGAGAAGAACTTTGTTGGTAGCATCGCTACCTTACATCAGCTTCTCCTACCCTTCTGTACTTGTTCTCCTCCTCGTCCCTCGTTTCCATCTACTCCCTCCCTCCCTCCCTCCCTCTCTTCCACGTTGCTTGTCCTCTTCTTAGCTCATTTCTCAGTTCGACCCGCGCTGTCTCCCCTGCTTTTCTTGCTGCCCTTCTCTCTGACGGCCTTTTGCGTGAGGCGGACTTGATACTGCTACCACGAGATCAGTCGCTTCATGGCAGTCGCTTCGCCTTCCCCATCCATGCCCTCCCCCGTGTAGTCATCATCAAGATCTCCTCCTCCTCCTCCTCCTCCTCCTCCTCCTCCTCCTCCTTGATTTCCCTGTCGCTCCCCCTTCCCTGTCGCTCCTCCTTCTTCATTCGATGTCCTTTGCGTCCTCCAAGGTTCTCCTCCTCCTCCTCCTCCTCCATGGCAGCACTTCCTTCGCTCCCTTGTCCTCGAACCTCTTTCCTGATTCTTTGGCGAGTTCATCGTTCTGCGTAAGACCGAAGATGCCCTTGAAGTCGTTGAGGTCCCGCGCGTGCCGTCGCTGGCAACCCAAGATCGTAGCAAGTTCGGAGGGAGTCTCTTCTGAGGTGAACAAGGAGGATGCAGTGACTCGCGATGAAGTTGTTGCACAGAGGAAGCGAGCGCTAGAAGCTGCTCTCCAACAGTCTTCCTCGGAGGAGCTCATGTGTGACTATCCCCACGAGCCATGCGAGTGCAAGTCGATGCTTCTCCCTCCCGAGTTTGAGGCCTCAGCGAGCTTGTGCATGCACCTGGCGCTGGTGCCGTCCTTGCAAGAGTGAGGGAGAGGTCAGGCGTAGGAGGTGCTGACAGGAAGCCGCAGGAGACTGATCTCCCTGACCTCTCCAGGACTAGATCCGATCGAGATGGCATCCGAGCTCGAAGCCCTCATACAGAACGAGCTCTCTTCCAATGCATCCATGTGACCATTTGCTGCTGCTGCTTCCTGCTGCTGATGCATTTCAAGATATTTCGAAGCAGGCTCAGTCGTGCGCGACATTGTGTTGGCTATAGGTCACCAGGGTAACGTGACGCACCTTCCCCTCTCATCCGATTGCAGAGGATCGGCGATCCCGGCACATGCAGCTACAAGCGGTCGCGAACATCTTCAGATTGAGTGAGTGCAGCAGAGCAACTCTAGTGATGAGCTTACTTGTAGATGAGCTTACTTGTAGATGAGCTTACTTGTAGATGAGCTTACTTGTAGATGAGCTTACTTGTAGATGAGCTTACTTGTAGATGAGCTTACTTGTAGATGAGCTTACTTGTAGATGAGCTTACTTGTAGATGAGCTTACTTGTAGATGAGCTTACTTGTAGATGAGCTTACTTGTAGATGAGCTTACTTGTAGATGAGCTTACTTGTAGATGAGCTTACTTGTAGATGAGCTTACTTGTAGATGAGCTTACTTGTAGATGAGCTTACTTGTAGATGAGCTTACTTGTAGATGAGCTTACTTGTAGATGAGCTTACTTGTAGATGAGCTTACTTGTAGATGAGCTTACTTGTAGATGAGCTTACTTGTAGATGAGCTTACTTGTAGATGAGCTTACTTGTAGATGAGCTTACTTGTAGATGAGCTTACTTGTAGATGAGCTTACTTGTAGATGAGCTTACTTGTAGATGAGCTTACTTGTAGATGAGCTTACATGTAGATTACAATGCTGCGGGATGGTGACAATGAGGTCTAGATGTCAAAGAGTTTGAACTCACTGCCGACGGATGTCATCAGTGGATGTTTTCTCCCAGGGGTCGCGACCCTGTTCACCCGGGTCAGTTTGTTTCACCTCCTCCGTCGAGGTGACAAGCGAGTAGACGAAGACGTGAGAGTCTGTTTCGATGACGGACACTGCTGGCCGATCCTCTCCAGGAGCCTGCAGGAGAGAATCGCCAAGCACAAGGCCGTGGAGGAAGTGAAGCTGCAGGACATGAAGGTGGAGGATGAGCCGCAACAGCTGGCAGACCCTCCGCCAGGCTTCCTGTCGCTGAAAGATGGCATTGGTGACTTGAAAGCGATGATGCCAAAACACTTGGCTGAAGTAAAAGAGGATACTAGTGAAGACGACGAGGTCATGGCCTTTGCCCTCGGGATTGTTCTGCGGGGGAACATGGCGGAAGAAATTCAGTCGATGCAGAGGAAGTTGAAGGAGAGCGAGCAGATGTCGAGACTTTTGAGTCTAAAAGGTGTCAAGGTAGAGGTCCTTGGAAGGATGAGGGAGAGCGAGGGAGGAGGAGGCGTCTTCTTGGAGTTGAAGCGATTCGTGAAGGGGAGGAAGATGATGGCAGGGCTGATCGACACTCTGAAAGACAACTTGCAACTGTCGGGGAAGAGGATGAAGTGGAATGCCATTCCCTTCACTCTGAATCGCACGGGGTCGAGCGAGACGACAGAGACAATAGACGAGACGATACAGACGATGAAGCTGTGGGTCAGTGTCGACAAGAAGAGCCTTTTCCTGCTCTCCGAAATCTTCGCACACGTTGAGCAGGTACGGCATGCTCGGGCCAACTCAGAACAATGATAGAGGGTCAGTTGTGCAGGCTGCATGCGATACGAAAGGACTTCAAGCCGCTGCGAGGCTTGCTTCCTCTGCTCGAGGTTGAATGGAAGGGCAGCGTAGAGAGCAGCGAGCTGCGGCAAGCGATCATGCAGGTACAGGAGACCGTCGAGGCGATGCAGGTGGGGGAGAAGCTGGAAGAATGTTTGGTGTCGACCATCTCGGCAGCCGAAGTTTGCTTCGAGGACGGGCAACAATCTTTCAACCTCTTGCACGAGGTGGCCTTTGTACCTGCGGAGCTCGGAGCTACTCCCTCGACTTCGACGCCTTCGACGCCTTCGCTGAGAGTAGCAGAGGAGGAGAGTCAGAGAGCTGACGCAGGGCAGGACGAGCAGGTTGAAGATCGTACAGCAGGACTCGCACAGGATGAGTTTGGACGGTGGAGCATGTACAGTTCGGGGAAGAAGGTGGGTAGGCTGTCGATAGAGGACGGGAAGCTGTTGGCATATCAGTCGTTCCCGTTGCGAACAGTCCTCAAGAATGACTTCAACTTCACTTGGGAACCGGAGAAACGAGCATGGACCAAACCTGTCCAAGAATTCCTGCTCATGACAGGGGCGGCGACCTCGGATACGCAGGAAATCTTCCGCTTGCTCGTCCAGTCATACAACAAGAAGGTGAAGGAACAGGATCAAAAGGAAGTGAGTGAGAGGAACGAAGACACCAGCGGGAGTTCTGTGGGAGGTAGTGGGAGACAGGAGGTGAAGGTGGAGGAGGGAGAGGGGAAACTTCACGTGTACAACTCGTATCAAGTGAAGGAGGAGCTGAAGGCTCTTGGCTTCGTGTTTGACAGCACGCGCAAGTCTTGGTGCATGCAACTTCCTGCTGCTCTCAACGTCCTAGACGTGGCCTCGTCCTCCCAAGTTGACGTCCAAGTGATTCGGCGAGCTGCTTCTTCCTCCAAGTTGGCGCCGTCGGGCAGCCTCCCTGTCTCCCCCTCTCCATTCACTTCGGCAGAATTCGAGGCTACTCAGGTGAACTTGAGCTGGGGGTGCCGTGCTCATCTTTGCAACAGAACTGCAGGAGCAGTCAGGCAATGGAGCAGCCGCTGGTGGGCATGGAGAAATGTCGACCGATGGTGCGGCAGCTGCCATGCTGAGCCTCTGCTAACCTGCGACAGATGCTGGGTGATAAGATGCCCGACGTGTCCGGACGAGACCTGATGGTAATCGCATCCAAGACATGAACAGCTGAGCATATGCTGGCGCAGGCGATGACAAGCTTCTCAGAGGACATGCTGAAGAGAGACGTTCTCACGTGTCTCAAGCACTCGATGGGGCAGGAGGATGCGATCTCGACGGAGAACGTCGTGCTGGCTTACAGTGCGGAGCAGCTGATGCTAGCACTGCTGGAGCTCCTGGTGGGATCTGAGCAGAAGGTCTGCGACATCTCGTGACCTGCGAGAGCTGACGAGTCGCAGGCTCTCATGCCCTCTATGTGGAGTGCTCTCTACCCTCAGGTCTTGAGAGCTACTGGGGGATCAGCACGCGGCAGCCCCTGTGACTTGGATCAGCTTTCTCTCCCAGAGGTCTAGTCGCCTTGTCCGTGCGGTGACCTGACGCTCTCCAGCTCGCAAACCTGCTGGACTCTTCTTTCTCTGTCCTCGTGCTAAACTCTCCTTGCTCAGTCACGGGTGCGACTTGATGGAGGATCCTCCTCTCCTCCCAGCCTCTCCTCTCCTCCCAGCCTCTCCTTTCCTCCCAGCCTCTCCTCTCCTCCCAGCCCCTCTCACTTCTCGACAGGTCTGGAGCTCAGCGACTCGAGAATACGAGAGCTGCTGCAGCTCTGCCGCGAGGTGACGGCCGGTGTAGCAGCCGCACGTTCTCAGCTCGTGACTGCAGAAAGGCGTTTGGGTCCTGCTGGACATGTCGAACGCGCATCTGCTGGAGAGGTGGGTGACTCAAGCGCGTTTTGAGCTCGAGAGGTTGACTGTGCCGCCAGCACATTCAACTTTGACCAGACAATGTTGAAGCAGAGACTCGTTGTCGTCCAAGACTTCTCGCACTCCCTGGGTGATCAGCTTTGCGCGTCTACCATGAGCTCTGAGTATCCTGTTCTTAGGCATCAGCAGCTGGGGTTGTGCTCATGGTATCATGGAGAAGAGCTTAGCGATGAGAGTAGAAGCAGTAAGAGTTGTTGTTGCATCTAAGCGAGGTCTAAGTCCAGCAAAGAAACTTGCAAGCAGCGGAGCAGGCGTATCAGGCTCCTCTCTCTTCATGATGCACAAGTTCCTCTCGTGGACCGAAAGTTCCGCCAGGCTGGAGGCGACGGTGCTCTTTGACTTCGGCGTTGCTGGGGTGACGTCAGAACAGATCTCGCACCTCCGACGGGTCAGACGCGGCGCATCGAGAATGCTGGCCAAGGAACTTGAGGCTGACGACTCCTGACGCTGATGGTCTTCCCAGCAGGTTCCCGGCGTGAGATGCCTGCCATGCAAGGGAGGGTTTCACCTAGCCATCGACGTGACGGACTTAGAGGTTCTCAGCTTCGCCTGTTTTTCCTTCTCATGCTCGCGCAGTTGTCACCTGCTGAGGCCTCGGAGGTTCTGCGAGAGGAGGCAGCGGTGATGGAGGTCGCGACCTTCTAGCCCTTTGAGCCTCTTGCAGGTTTGCGCGGTGGCGATCGCACCGGGGAAGAAGAGAGCGTTGCTTCGCTTCAGCCTCACACAGCAGGAGCAGCTCCTGGCCAACGCATTTCGAGCCATCACTGCCAGTCTCAGGTGGGATAAGGACATGCTACAAGCTGCTTGAGGTCACATGCTACGTTAGGTTGCTTGCTCGTGATCTCAAGGAGATGGCATGAAGAAAGGGCGGCTGCTTTAATCGTCTCTCCCTCTCCCTCGCGCCTCCATCATTCGAAGCACATCCGGTGACGCTGCAGGGCTCTCCTTCCGCAGCTCCGCGTTCTCCTCCTCTAGCGACTTAGCGAGTCTTCGCTGGCGCTGTAGCTCGTCTCGGAGGGACTGCAGCTGAGCTTGTAACGTGATGACGTCAGCAGCTGGTGCGACTCCGTCGGCTCGTCCTGGGGAAGGTCTCGTCGGTTCTCTGAAGTCTTTGGGCTGTAGCTCGAGGATCGCAAGCTGGTTCTGCTCGACGGCAGCATCGAGTTCCTCCTGCAGCTGGTGTGCGAGGGACTCGTTGACATGGAGCTGCCTCCTCAGCTGCATCGCCTCGCTGTCTAGTGCAGCTTTGCAGCGACTCATGTGCTCAACTCGTCTCGCGGTTTCCAGCAGCAGGCTCTCTAGTTCTTCCACGCTTCCTCTGTTCGGAGCTTCGCTCTCAAGCACCGCAACTTTGGACGCCATCAGCTGGACAAGCGTCTGGCTGCGGCAGTTGGCCCTGACAGTCTCATGCAGCTCAAGCTTTGCAGCTTGCATCTCCTGCTCGAGACGGCTCACCCTCTGCTCGAACTTCGCCATCTCCGTAGACTCATTGCCGTCCTCTGAGTTGGCTTGGACCACCTCCGCCTTCCGATTGCTGAGCTCCTGCCACACCTCAAGCAGCTTTTGCTCTCGCTCGATCAGACATTCAAAGAATTCGTCGTCAACCTCTAGGCTGCTGTTACCCGTGCTCCACACCTTGTGATCTTTCATCCTTGATTCTTGCATGTTGCTCGGGACTCTATCCGCATATCGCAACTTGATTCCATACCTGCGGGTATGTGCGGGATGCGTTGCTTCTTGCAGTTTGGAGAGTGCAGGAGACTTGAGCAAGAACAAATCAGCTAGAGGTTGTCGAGTGTGGCAGACTCACTTTCTTGACCTTCCTCTTCGTCTTCTTCTCCATGTCCTGCTGCATCCTAGCCTTGAGGTCCTTCTGCTCTTGTCTGAGCATGTCGAAGAGATCTTTCACCTCTGCTTGTCCTTGGACGAGGGAATCCAGCATGTTCGTGATATCTGACAGTAGTGCAGTGTGTTAGATCCTCATGATGCGATGCTTACTTCCTGTAAACTCTTTCCTCTCCCTCTCCCCCTCCCTCTCCCTCTCCCTCTCCCTCTCCCTCTCCCTCTCCCTCTCCCTCTCCCTCTCCCTCTCCCTCTCCCTCTCCCTCTCCCTCTCCCTCTCCCTCTCCTTCTCTTTCCCCATCCTCAGCGGCCCTCCCACTTGCCCGTCCGAGGGTCCGACTGGAACCCCAGAATCTGAGGGGGGCTTGCTCCCTGTATCTGAACCCCAAGGACATGAACAAGATGGTGAAGCTGTGAGAGGGGGCAGGGGAGATCGACAGAGAGGAAGAGGAGGAAGAGGAGGAAGAGGAGGAGGAGGAGGAGGATGTCAAGAGAGAGAGCAAGACCTTGGGTTTCTTTGATCTGCCTCGCTCTTCTTGTTCTTCCTCAACAACGGGAATGCAAACTCGAAGATCCGCCGTCTAATAATCTCTGGGGTGAAGTGAGGTAATTGCTGCTTTTTTCCTTGCGCTTGTTCTCCCTTGTACTGACCTTTTGACAGCCTGAGCAAGCTGTGCAATGCTGGATTCCCGTCTTGGGAATGCAATGACTACCAGGAAGGAGTCAGAATGTTGGAAGAGAATGATAGAGTTCAACATGGAAAATTAGAGATCTTGTCTCCCAGTCCGCGTGAGATAGTGCGAGCAAAACATCTTGACATTCAGCTGCTTCTACGATACTCATTTCATCTACATGACTCGTTCAATCTTGTTCTCTCGTGCTGCCATTCCTTCCCTCAAAACTCGTGGAGTCAGAGCTACAAAGTGAGCGAAGTATGTGAGGCGAGCGAGTGCGGAGAGGGGAAGCAGGTTCTGCTCCGCGTGCCTTGGAGCAAGGACGTGTCAGGCCTCGCACACCTCTCCCTCTTCGTCGTCCATCACGAGCGCACGGAGAATGTCTTCGTGGCGCGACATGATTTCTTCATGGTCCCTGAGGAGGAGGATGACAAACGTCCTTGTCCTCGCCAGGTTGGTCTTCCCGCCTGCAGGAGTTGCAGGGTCGTGGGAGTGACGGACGGGATCGTCAGCTCGAGCTGCGTTGGGAACGATCTTCTCGAAGACGATCGGCGACAGGAGCAGGACAACAGCAGGATCTCACTGGCTCTGTTGGCGGACTGGCAACTGCTTCTCCTCTCTCCCTTCCCCTCTGCGGCTCAAGAGAAGGTCACCGTCACCATCACGTCCTGCGGTAGACCCGCACTGCTGGCCGAGACCATCCGGTCCTTCCTCGCAGCCAACACTCATCCCATCGAGGAGGTCCTGGTGATCGAGGACAGCGGGAACGCGACGCTCTGCCGTCAGCTCCAGGCGACTTACATGTCCAACTTGGAGGCGGGGGAAGAGGAGCCGTCAGGGCCCCCATTCCGCATCCTATGCAATAAGGAACGGGTGGGGCAGGTCGTTTCGCTGGATCGGGTGACTCAGCACGTGAGGACGGACTTTGTGTTCCACCTGGAGGACGACTGGACGTGCGATGGGACCGGAAACTTCATCCAGGACTCACTTGAAATTCTCCGCGACAACCCAAACTGCTTCCAAGTTCACCTCCGTCACCGCAAGAGCATGACCCACCCCGTTCACCCCCAGCTCTTCCTCACCAGCCGCTCGAGCATCCCTTACAGGAGACTCGTATACGGCTGGTACGCTGGAGACGGTCTCTACTGGCATGGACTGAGGTGCCCCTCCCTCCCTCCCTCCCTCCCTCCTTCTTTCGCTTTTCCTTGCTCCCTCGCTCTTCCTATCAATCTGCTTTACTCACCGCCTGCCCCATCCCTGCACTTTCCTTGTCCTGACCTCCTTGTGCTTCTTTCCTCACCTTCCTCAGCTTCGGCCCGGGCTTGCGGAGGAAGTCCCACATGCTCCTTCTCTCTCCCTTCGAGTCCTTGGGCTCGGAACTGCAGGCACAAGCAGCGTTCTATGTAAGAGGAGGAGGAGGAGGAGGAGGAGGAGGAGGCGGCGGAAGTGAGTGAGTTAATACGCAGAGTCATGGCCTCTGGGCAGCAGCGTTGGAGGAGGGAGTGATGGAACATACAGGAGACAGCGACTCGAAACGAGAAGAATGGGAGAGGCGGGACTGAGAGGGTGACAAGAGAGTCAGCAGGAGGACGAGGGGATGAGGAGAACAGTGACAGAAGGGGAGGAAATAAGGAGCTGTAAATTCGACTATAGAAAACAAAAGCGTGAGCCGACCAGCGACGGGATATGATGGCGGCAGAGATGCCTGGGGCTCATACTGACGAAAGCTCGCTCCTCCCCGCTCACTTCGCTTCCTCCTCCTTCCTCCCAGCCCTCATTCCCTCGGACATGTAGCCTCCGGGAGCACCCTTCCAGATGAAGACACCTGAAGGAGAGTGAGATGAGAGGAGGAGAGAAGGGCACCGTCACCTGCGGTTCTTGACGTCTGTCATATCTGGTTCTTTGTGTCTCCAGCATTTCTCTGCTGCTCCCTGTCGCCTGCCAAAGCTCTGCTCCCCTTTCAATAACTTCCCTCCATCCCTCCCTCGTACAACCCCCACCCCCTTCCCCTCCCCCTCCCCATCGCTATCTCACAGGTCTGCGAGTGCATCCAGAAACGAGGCAGAGCTTGTGCGACAAGTCCATGTCATCTGGGAGTCGATGAGCTGCATGCTTCCATCAGTGAAAACCCTCCTCCTCCTCTCTCCTCCTCCTCTCTCCTTCTCCTCTTTTCCATTCTCTCCTTCTTCCTCCGCTCTTCTCCCGCCTCTCTCCTCGCTTCGCTAGTCCTCTCTCATCTTCCAGCTCGTTTTCAGCACATCTGCTGCTTCCTCTCCCCATCCTTTACCTGCACAGCGAAGTGCTCGCCGTCCCCGTGCATCGTCCCTGCTGTCCCCATAGATCGCTCGCTTCCAACAACTTGGCGGTCGTGTCAAGAAGATCCTCAAGAGAAGAAGAGATGACAATAAAGAAACAATTACCCTTGATGAATGCAGCTTGTTTGCCTGACATTTACTTCGTGTCTCAACTTATGTTGCCGGCAATGCCTGCCATACTGTGAGCAGCGAAGAAATTCAGGATTGAGAGAGCAGAGCAGAAAGAGCAAAGGTGAGCAGGCAGTCAGAGGGCGAGAAGGTGGTGGAGGAGGAACCTCGCTTGACTAAGTGAAGATCCAATACTGCCAAAGCTCGCTTGGCGAGGGCAAACCCAACATCTCTGAGCAAGAGGCAAGAATTCCACATCTCCAAGCTCTGTTGTGTTTGCCTCCGCCTCCCTTTTCCCTCTTGCTTCATTGACGTTACCCAGGCAGACACCCTCATCCCCTGCTTGTTTGTACGGCTCCTCATAGGAGCTCGAGTTCCTCTTGTTCTCTTCTATATTCCCGCTCATTTTCTCTCCTCCTTCTCTGCCCCTCCTCCTTTCCCCCTCGCACTTTCTGCACAGAAGAAACTTCCACGTATGAGGAGCCGCACCCTCGAGGGCTCCGTAGCAGACGTCGGATGCCCCACATCTGGACCAAGTAAGCGGGAAAGTTCGAGCAAGAAGGAGGGGAGAGGAGGAGCTTGCGGGGAGAAGACAAGAGGGAGGAGCTGCAGCTCACGTTCGACATATTCGGCTCAACTGTTAAAAGACATTCACAAACGATCAGGCAATCGATCAAATATACGTGTCGATCCTCGACGTTGCTCTGTTCGACGTGTTGAGAGGAAGAAGAACAATCAGAAGCTTCAGAGAAGTCTCGTTTCCCCTGACATCTCACAAAATCTGAATCATCCACTACTGGACGGTCCCCTAGAATTGATAACAAGAATGAAAACAATAGAAGATATCGACAGAAAGTTTGCATTTCAAACGATCGGAAATGAAAGAAACCACAAACAGCTCTCCGTTATGTCACCATCTGAAAATATAGAAGTCATTTCGCATCATGATCATCGCACGTTTCTACTTTGACGGACAAATCTCAGGCTATTCCTTCTAACTTCTCCCTCCAATTCATATTTGAAAATGAGTCTATGCTCCTTCTCCTGCTCCTGCTCCTGCTCCTGCTCCTGCTCATGCTCCTGCTCGTCGTTCGAGCTGGGTACGGAGGCCATCGTGGTCGGGGACTCTGTCACCCCTACCTCGATTTTGGTAATCGGACTTACTTGTACCCCTTATAACAATAGTTGATTACCCCCTCCTCATAGTGCATTCTCCAAACCCCTAATACCCCCCACCCCAACCTGCAATTTGTAATAAAGACAGGGGATTGCGTGGGGATGGGGGTTGATGAGAATGGCTGACGAGGAAGAGAAGAAGGGAAGGGAAGGGAAGGGAAGGGAAGGGAAGGGAAGGGAAGGGAAGGGAAGGGAAGGGAGGGGAGGGAGCAAAGAACATAGATGTGCAGAGGCGAGATCAGAATCAAGGGAAGCAAGTAGAGGAAAATGGAGGTGGGGAAGGGAAGGGAAGCAGCGGGGCAGAGCACAGCACAGCACAGCACAGCACAGCACAGCAGAGGTTGAGGGAGGGGTTCAGAGTTGACAGCGGGTACTGAAAATTGTGACCATACTGATGTACCTTAGCAGGCTGTGGTAGTGATGGCGATCTGAAGTGAATTGAGGGCGATTGTCTCGGTTGCCTTGTGATTTTCTTCGCTGCAATCGTCTTTCAAGGTCTCCCTCTGCTAGTCTCAGTGGCGGCATAGTGACATGCTGGCAGATGTCAGCGATGGGGCTCGACAGGAATCGGATGATCTCTTCCTTCCAGGAGATCACAGGCTGGCAGAACGTTGAGCAGTGTGTCAACTGCTTGGAGGTTCATGGCTGGGATCTCGACCACGCGGTCCAGGTGTGGTAGAGGTGAAGAGCCGGCGCCCAGATCGTGATTGTACCATGCAGACAGCTCTTGCTGCGCATGAGGATGAGCGAGACTCGACCCAGCGTGTCGAGACAGCGACGGAAAGACGGGGAGGGGAAGAGGTGGGAAGCAGAGGCCAAGCGCGGCGAGGACTCTTGGGCTTCCTTTGTGAGTCGAGCATCGCTGAGTTTCAGGAGATGAGAGACTGTGGCAGCTTCTGTCTTCGGGACTGGGAACAGGAACGTGGCTGAGAGGAGGATCGAGACCGAGGCTCAGGTTCTTCAATCCCCCGCTCCCCTCAAGTGATCCTTCTCCTGTCAGAAATTCATCGACAGATTCAACTTGGAGCATGGAGATGTGCATCCAACAGCTCAAACGGGAAGCTTTAGGGAGGTGAGAAATGCTTGCCATGAAAGCCATGCGGCTGCGCTGCTGATAAAATGATGATGATGATGATGATGATAATGAATGGGAGGAGGAGGTGGTGGAGGAGGGCAGGGAGCAGGGATGAGAGGGAAGGTTTTTAACTCGTTCAAGGCGGTGGACGCGGCAAAGCGAGAGTTCAAGTTTCTTGTGGTCTACCTGCACGCCCCCTACCACCAGGACACTCCTGAGTTCCTGCGAGACACCTTGTGCACACAGGTGGGAGGGATGCGTTAGAGTTCTTGCGCTTGCGGGTGAGGAGAATCTGAGCTGCCTGCAGGTCCTCAAGGACTTCATGGATGACAACTTCCTCTTCTGGATGGGCAGTCTCGTCGACTCCGAGGTGGAGCCTCCGCCTGTTCCTGAGCGACTCTCGCGGGCCTGAGAGTGCGTGCAGGCGTTCAACGTGAGCATGCTGCTGCGAGCCTCGGGCTTCCCCTACGTCGCTGTCATCACAACCACAATCGACAACCAGACCACCGTCTGCGACGCGCATGAGGGTCCAGCAGGAGTTCAGCTGACTGGGTTGGTGACGCACTTGGCAGGTTTGGTCAGCCGCGAGGCTCTCATGAACTGGCTGATGAACATCATGGAGACCCAGGGGCCTCAGCTCGTCGCTCAGCGAGCGGAAGCGTGAGTGTTGAACTTGCTCGGCGGGCTTGACCCTAAACCCTAAACCCTAAACCCTGAGCCGTTGGTTGCAGTGAGGAGCGAGCGATGGACCGGCGCATCCGGGAGGAGCAAGACCTCGCCTTCCAGCAGTCACTTCTAGAGGACCAGCTGCGCGAGCGAGAGGCGGAGGAGCAAAGAAAGGTATCGTCGCCTTGTGTGAGTATCCGGCTGAGCAGGTGGAAGCGCGAAGAGGAGGAGCGAGAGAGAGCGTTGAGGGAGCAGCAGCAGGCAGAAGCCGCGGTGAGAGTGCAGGTGCTTTGACGGCTCTTACATGGCACCAGGCGAGGAGAGCTGAAGAGGAAGCTGCGAGAAACGAAGTGGAACGATTGAGGAGGAAAGAAGAAAAGAAGGTGAGAAGGGCGGGTTGGACCGGCAGTTCTGAGGAGCAGCGTAGGAGCTGTTCATGGGGCCGGAGCCGACCGGGGAAGGGACGTCTCTTATTGCTATCAAGTGAGGAGGATGCAGGAGGTGGAGGGAACTTAGTCTCTTCAGGCTGCCCGACGGCTCGCGCCTTCAGCGCAGGTTTTGTTATACCGACAAGGTTCAGGTCTGTCGTGATTTCCCCAGCTGCTACCCTGCTGAGCTGAGGGTGAACTTAGGCGATCTACGACTTCCTTGATGCCTTCGCCGACATCGAGTTCGACCACTTCGACGTGGCGACCAACATGCCCAAAGTGATCTACAGCGACCGCAGCCTCTCCATCGGTACCTTCCCCTCTCCCCGTCCCCCTCCTGCCCTCAACTTGCCTCCCCTGCTTGTCTGCTTGTCTGCAGTCTGTCTCTTCGTCTTTCCTCCCAAAGTTTCTATTTCATCGCTCTGCCTCTTCTCCTCTTCCTCAAACCTGCCAAGCTGACTCTCCTCCAGAGGATGCTGGTCTCAAGCCGCAGGCGCTCCTCTTCGTGCAGGAGAGCCTCTGAGCTCTCTACTTGATGTGATACAAGAGGACGCGCTAGTGTTCTCATCTTACTCCCACGTCTTCTTCGGCGTCGCCCTGGTCCTTTGATCACCTTCGTACCCTCACAAGCAGCAACGTACCAGTCGCACGCATCCTCAATTCCTAAGTTGTTCTCTCCTCGCACAATCCTGAACCAGCCCTGCAGACAGTAAGCTTCCTCCTCCTCCTCCTCCTCCTCCTCCTCCTCCTCCTCCTCCTCTCCTTCACCTCTTCTCCCCAGTACGTCCCCCAGCTGTTCCTTCCGATCCAGTACTTGATCCCGTCTTCGGTCTCGCCGTACCTGTCATATGTCAAACAGCTGGGGTTCAGCTTGATTCGTCACCCAGCGATGGAGATTGCATGATCCTGGTCGACGCAGCCCGTGGAGTCTCGCAAGACGCCGCCAGCGTACTTCTCCACCTCCTCCGTGACGCACATCCCGCAGACGATGGGCCCTCGTGCCGCGATCTCTGCCAGCATGGCCACTTCTCCGCGCAGCTGCCCGTGGGCTTCCACACGGAACCTCTGGAAGCGGGTGACGGGAGAGCAGACGTTGGGGCGGAAGGAGGAAAGAAAGGAGCAGGTCTCGCAGACAGTCAAGTCGCTACATTCGAGGTCCTTGGCCTGATAGGCTTGGCAGGTCTCGTCGGGTACATCCTGCTCCTCCATCCACTCGTACGCTGCCGTTGGGTCTCCTCCCCTGCAGCCTCTGGTCTCGTTGGCAGTCACACAGTTGACGAGAACCTGATGGCGGGAGTGAGTTGCGAGAAAGAGAAGCAAGCGCAGACTGACCTGAGCGGAGAGGACATAGCGAGGAAACGAGTTGTTTCTCATCAGGTTGATTCGATCGCTCAGAGCGCTGGTGGTAGAGAAGGCCCAGCAAGAGCCGCAGTAGGAAGGAATGTGCTGGTTCCTGTTCGGCGTCGCGTAGCTCACCCCCGAGAGGTTTCGAATGTCCCAACTCTGAGGGATCCCCAGCGTGCTGACTTCCTTTCCTCTCACCTCCCGCACCTGCTCCCTCCTCCCTCCGCGGATGCGACACGGGTGCCTGTAGTCGTGATAAGCTCCCTTCTTCACGCTCTCATCTACGAAGTAGCTTCCGCGAGAGACGATTGAACCTCCTCCTCCTCCTCCTCTCTTGCCCTTTACACCTCTATGGCTTCCTGCTGGCCCTCGCTTGGCTGCTGGGGTTGCCCACATGCACTGAGTCTCAATGCCGAGGTTGAACTTATGCATGAGGATACGGAAGAGCCCCTGCTCGCCCCAGTAGGTTCCCCACGAGTTTCTTCCTATCCAGTACTCGTCGCTTCCTTCCTTGCCCCAGCCGACAACCGAGACCTCGTGGTTGAGGAGGAAGGAGAAGGGAGAGAACTGCTGGAAGACTCCTCCTCCGTACTCGGCGAACTTTTTGGTCACGAACATGCCGCACGAGATCGGACCTCGCGACAAGATCTCTGCCTTCATCTTATCTGCTGAAGTCAGTCGGTTTCCTGCCGCATCCTCATCGCTTCCTCCGTTCACCCAGCCATACTCCTCCACGAACCACGAGGAGTAATTCGAAACGGCAGAGCAGGTGCCTGGCAGGAAGTGCTCCTCGTCTTTGCCTGGCTCGCAGGTCTCGCAGATGCCGTAGGGAGCGCAGGCTCCGTTGACTGCCTCGTAGTTCTGACAAGTCTCGTCTGGCAACCCGTTCTCAAACATGTAATGCATAGCTTGCGCCGGGTCTCCTCCTCGGCAAGAGCCTCCGCCATGGCAGTTGATGAGGACTTGCGGGGACAAGTTGATCTCCGGCTGCGCTGAGGGAGAACAAGTCAGGAAGCGAAAGAGAGAAGCACGCGAGCGTCACCGTTGTGCCGCATGATCTTGATGCGATCCGACATCATCGAAGTTGTCGCCATCGCCCAGCAGCTGCCGCAGTAGCGCGGGATGTGCTGGTTCTTCATGCCGGACAAGAAGTTGCGGCCGTCAAGGTCACCCCAGAAGAAGGAGGAAGGCAGGTCCCGCACGTTCATCTCCTCGTGCGGCCTCGGCGATTTCACGTGCTCACCTGCCAGGCCCTTCAGCACTAACCTCAGAGACGGCAGGCACCATGAGGGAAGTCCACGTGTGGCAGGCGGCACGCTGGTCCATGCCCAGCATCATCGTACATGCCGTCTTGCCTAATGAGCGGTGCCGCCTGAGCACAAACGAACACAAACCTGAAGAGTGGAACATCAGCAAACGACACAACAAGCAGACCATGAGCAGGAAGTTATGAAGTTTGAACTCCCTCCTCCCTCCTCCCTCCTCCTTCCTCCCTCCTCCCTCCTCCTCCAACTCACAGGAGGAGCAACGGAATCGCCATGAGCGGTCTGAATTCTCTCCAGAGGTCATTTGGGTATGAGGGGGATGAGGGTTAATATGGCAGGATGAAGTTGGTCGTAGACAATGGCGGAGGCGAATTGAAGGCGGCGAGAGTGACAGACGAGGTGAGGAGAAGAGAGAGAGGGGAGGAGGAGGAAGAGGAAGAGGGAGGGAGGGAGGGAGGGAGGGAGGGAGGGAGGGAGGGAGGGAGAGAGGCACACAGGAGAGGGGCAGAGGGAGAAGGAGAGGAGGAGAGGGAAAGGGGCTGCGGAAAGAGAGTCACTGGAGTTCAGATCGACTACAAGGAAGCAAATCTCGACGTGAACCCTGTTGTTCTTCCTCATTGCACAGCCAAGGTAGACGTGCATCGCTCGTCAGCTCTCGCAGTGACTTGACCTCCTTCAGTCTCGCGCTGAGAAGAAGTTCTTCGTAGCGGATGGACTGGTCCATGTCTTCTTCACAGAGGGCACGCGTGACGACCCTGCAGGACACAGCTGTCGACCTCGCGTCGCTCTACATCAGGTGCATCAAGGGGCTTCGCTGCTTCTTCGCGCACTGAGGGCGAGCAGGCGACCGCACGAGCGAGGGTACATCGTGAACTGGGATGTGGAACAGGCAGGGAGTGAGCTTGGGAGGCGAGTACTGACAGCGTTCACTGCAGGATGTGTGGCAGCGCATGTGCCACAAGGACGTGCTAGGTGATCCTCGTGCCTTGTTTCTCGTCACTTGACCCCCGCTGCTCCTCAGGAATCAAACCGGCTGAGACCAGGTCAACCCTGCCATGGCGAAGCAGCTGATGACGTGAGCGGCAGTTTGCTGGTTACAGAGAGTCTCTTCACGCCCAACGAGATGCGAGACAACCTTGACGAGTTCGTCTTCGAGGTCCTCCTCCTCCTCATCATCATCATCATCATCATCATCATCATCAATCATCAATCATCAATCATCATCATCATCCATCCTTCCATCCCCCCGCCCAATCCTCTCTTGGTCTCCCCTCCTTGTCGTCTTTCTCCCTCCAACTCTCCTCATCGACCTTCTCGTGGTGTTGTCTCAACTTGTCGCAGGAGCTCGGCTTCAACAAGTACTGCTGTGCTTCTTCTCCCCTGCTCGCGCTGGCGGACCACAAGGTTCCCAACCTCCTTCCTGCTCGGGCTGACGCGACTTTAAGTGCTGGGACCCGAGCAGCGGCTTGTCACGCACAGGCTGCGGGGTGATGGTGGACTCAGGGTTCAGCTTCACGCACATTGTTGTGTGGATGGAGGAGGAATGGGCTCTTGACTCGGCTTCGTTCAGGTTCCTTTCTATGAGGGCAGGATAGTCCACAAGGTACCTGAAGCCCTCCAGCCATCTCTTGTAGCCCCTCCCTGCCTTTAATTTCCCTCATTCTCATTCCCTGCGTCTACCTTTCTCCTTTCCTCCCCCTCCCTCTCCCTTCCATACCCAACACCATCTCCTCCTCCTCCTCCTCATCCTCATCCTCCTCCCGAACCTCAACCTCAACCTCAGCCTCAGCCTCAGCCTCAACCCTACTCCTTCTCCTCCTCCTCCTCCTCCTCCTCATCATCATCATCATCATCATCATCATCATCATCATCATCATCATCATCATCATCATCATCGTAATCGTCATCATAATCTATTTTGTCTGATGTACCGCAGGCGTGCAGGCGAATCGACGTAGGGGGAAAGGTGATGACGAATCTCCTCAAGGTAGCAGCAGAGGCATTGGCAACCTCGTCCGGCTGAATGCGAGCAGGAGACTCTGTCGAGCAGGCAGTGGAACATGATGGACGAGACGGTTCAGCTGCTCGCATCCTCCTCTCCTCCTCCGCTGACCTCTTGTAGATCCTCGTCAACGCCATCAAGGAGCGTTTGAGTTTCGTCTCGCAGGTGCCGCTGAGTCAGGCAGGGGGTCGCTGACGACTGGCAGGACCTCGAGCGAGACCTTACGAGAGCGAAGCAGCGGGGCAGGACCAACGACATCCGACGCCTCTACTCCCTCCCCACCTCCAACACCCCAGGCGTCGCCGGTCAAGACCGACTCGGTTCTCCTTGTTCGTCAGCTCGTCGCGTCTGACGAGCAGGCAGGGCATGTCATCGAAGGCGACGAGGCTGCCGCTCGCTCCTCCGCCTCCCCCATGAAGCGACAGAAGGTCGAGGAAGGTCAAGGAGCTGCGAGCGGCAAGGGAGCTCAGCGCCTGGAGGAGGAGTGCGTGCTTGAGGTTTCCAACGAGAGGTTCACAATCCCCGAGGTAGAGGGGCACGAGGTCGCGAGCCCTCGGTCAGCGTGTGCTCGCAGGTTCTGTTCACTCCCAGGATGATCGGCCTCCATCAGAGTGGTATCCCTCTCGCTATCCAGAGCTCCGTCCGTCACTTCGACCCTCCGATGCACCCACTCATGTGCTGTCCTACCATTGTCTTCTCTTTCCGCTGAGAGCATGGCAGGTACAGCACTGTCCTCTTGGTCGGCGGCAACGCTCTCATCCCAGGCTTCCATGCTCGCATGCTCGCGGAGGTTCGCTCGCTCGCTCCCTCAGACCTGCACGTCTCCGTCCCTCAGGGTCCTCAACCCGCCAACCTTGTGGGTGACTCGCTGCCCCTACTCTTGTCCTCACTCTTCTTGTCAGAGCGCATGGCGTGGGGGCATGCGGCTGGTGGGCGCGGGGGCTCTAGAGGGCGCGTGGGTGACGTGAGAGTCGAGGAGGTGCTACTGGGGTGAAGCTGAGAGAGCGGCAGGAAACAAGAGTACGAGGAGAAGGGCCACCAGATCTGCCGCAGCCGATTTAAGTTTGCGTCTCCTTCTCAGCTGGACTTGTGCTAACTGAGTTGCAGGGAAATCGAGAACATCGTCTGTCAACTGCAAGCAACTTGAGGTGGAGGAAGATGATCAACATCGTCTGCTTCTAACAGCGAAGCTTCCGGACAAAACGCAACATCCTCGAGAGGAAGCGAGCTGTCCGCGAGACATGGCAAGATCGAGGAGGGTGAAACAGCCCAACAGGCACCAAACAGCCTTTTTGCTGCGTATTTGTGTGTCTATATGATTTGATGTATGTACTGCTTGAGGCATTTCCTTGAAGTATGCGAGTAAATCATGTCCACGGCGATCTCAGCTGCAGCGCCAGCTCCCTTTTCCTCTGCCGAGGATAGTGGGAACTCGGAGGACAGCATCGACTACTGCCAGGACAGCGCCGGCTCCGAATCGGCGGCTCGAAGTCCGAGAGACAAAAGCATCAGCCAGCACAGTGATGGACGGAGACGCTTCTCCCGCTCCACTCTTGATGCTCCTAGCGGCTGTTGCTTGACCCTTCCTGCTTGTCTGCGCGGCTTCGCGCGTGGGCTGGCGGTGCCGGGTCTGCTGACAGTTGCCAGCCGTGCTGGTTGCTTTTGGTCTTGTTTTGTTGTGTGTGTTTGTGCAGCTTCTCGCTGTGCGCTGTGTGCATGCAGGTTTAGCTTGTTCCTGCTTTGTTCTGCTTGAGGGACTTTTTACCTTGTGCGAGTAAAACACTTGAGCCTCTGACAGAATGTTATACCCGGAGGCAGCCGACTGACCAGCCTCCCTCCGTCCGCTGCCCCAGGCGGACCCCCGGGCAGCGCCGGCTCCTTGTCGGCGGCTGCCAGGCAATCAAGCGCTACAGCTCCTTTGCGGGGACCGATCAACGCAGGAAACAATAACACAAGCCCTCAAACAGGAGGAGGAAATGCTTACAGAACAGGTGGAACAGCAGGAAGAACTGGAACTGGTTCTGGTGGCGGTGGCAGTGGAAGAGATGGAGCAGTTACCACAGCAGGCAATGGAGGACCACGGGTGGAGGATTCGGCAACACCTGTCACCCCTTTCTAGTCATCCTGCAGCTTTGAAGCTCTACTGCAAACATAACCTCATATCTCCTCCAAGGGGTCCTTCTTGGCCGGATGCCGGATCTTCTTATTCCTGCCCTGTCAGCCATTCGTCGAGGAGGCAGATTTATTCCCCTCTCCAAGGGAGCTGATAAACCTGGTCTCCGGCCAATTGTCATCGGTTCTGCACACCGTCGACTCGCAACGAAGCTTGCTTTGGCAGGGATTCGCTCATTTCTTGACCAGCACTTCCTCTCGTCTCACCCTAGACTCCTCCCTCGAGCGATTCAGACGGTTCGGGCTGTCTGAAGTTCTCGCAAACCGCGTCAGCGCTCCTGCCCCTTCACGCTTGCGTTGATGATGAGGATGTTGCCAACCCCACAGTGCTGGTGAGTTTGGATGCAAAGAACGCCTTCAACTCCCTCGCGGGCCGCCAGGCTCTCTTCGATGAAATCGAGGGACGTGCGAGTCGCGACTACTTTGATGGGAGCATCACTGAAGGCGCTCGCTTGCCCTCTTGCGAGCATCTCCGTTTGTTCGCCTCCTACCTCTCCAGCTACTATCGAGACTCTGCTGACCTTCGACTCTTTCACAAAAGTCAGTCAGCCTCCGTTCAGTGTACCTCGGGCGTCTGTCAGGGCGATCCAGCGTATTTTTCTGCCACAGTATCCACCCCCTGCTCCTCCATATCGCAGAGCTTTTTCCCTCTGTTCGAGTCTTGGCCTATGCTGACAACGTCGTACTTGTCGGTCCACTCGAGGATGCCGTTGCCAGGCAATCAAGCGCTACAGCTCCTTTGCGGGGACCGATGACCACGGGTGGAGGATTCGGCAACACCTGTCACCCCTTTCTAGTCATCCTGCAGCTTTGAAGCTCTACTGCAAACATAACCTCATATCTCCTCCAAGGGGTCCTTCTTGGCCGGATGCCGGATCTTCTTATTCCTGCCCTGTCAGCCATTCGTCGAGGAGGCAGATTTATTCCCCTCTCCAAGGGAGCTGATAAACCTGGTCTCCGGCCAATTGTCATCGGTTCTGCACACCGTCGACTCGCAACGAAGCTTGCTTTGGCAGGGATTCGCTCATTTCTTGACCAGCACTTCCTCTCGTCTCACCCTAGACTCCTCCCTCGAGCGATTCAGACGGTTCGGGCTGTCTGAAGTTCTCGCAAACCGCGTCAGCGCTCCTGCCCCTTCACGCTTGCGTTGATGATGAGGATGTTGCCAACCCCACAGTGCTGGTGAGTTTGGATGCAAAGAACGCCTTCAACTCCCTCGCGGGCCGCCAGGCTCTCTTCGATGAAATCGAGGGACGTGCGAGTCGCGACTACTTTGATGGGAGCATCACTGAAGGCGCTCGCTTGCCCTCTTGCGAGCATCTCCGTTTGTTCGCCTCCTACCTCTCCAGCTACTATCGAGACTCTGCTGACCTTCGACTCTTTCACAAAAGTCAGTCAGCCTCCGTTCAGTGTACCTCGGGCGTCTGTCAGGGCGATCCAGCGTATTTTTCTGCCACAGTATCCACCCCCTGCTCCTCCATATCGCAGAGCTTTTTCCCTCTGTTCGAGTCTTGGCCTATGCTGACAAGTGTGTATAGGATTTACTAGGATCAAGCTAAACCTCCAGGCACACAGTCCACAGCGAGAAGCTGCAC